GTAACAGTCCATGGGGCTTGGCACAGGCAGCCATGTGCCAAGAAGAGAGGACGACAGATGCAGGAGGAAGACACCAAAGCCTGACCAAGGGCATCAGGAATGTCACCTGGGCAGGTGACATCTTAGTTTACCAAACACAGGGCCAAGGTAACATGAGCGTGTGCTGCAGAGCAGCTGCTGTTCACTGAATATTTGTATTAGTTGACAAATGGCAAACATCACGGCCCCAAAAACTAAGGATGCCCTGCAGGAAATCTGTGCTTCTTTCTTGAACACTCCCATCTAATCCATCAACAAATTTTTGTGGTTTCACCTTCAAAATGCACAATCGAACCACCTCTTGACAAGTCCATAGACCCCCCGGCTAAGTCCCTAAAGCCCCTGGCTTCCTCCTTTTCCTCCTCACCCATCTTTCAGTGCTGGTTCCAGATCCATCTTATACATCTCATCACACACAGACCTGCCAACCACTTCTTCCTTTTTTCTTCTTTTTTTAATTTTAATATTTATTTATTTATTTGGCTGTGCTGGGTCTTAGTTGCAGCACGTGGGATCTAGTTCCTTGACCAGGGATTGAACCTGGGCACCCTGCACTGGGAGCCCAGAGTCCTAGCCACAGGACTACCAGGGAAGTCCCCAGTTCTCCCTCTTACTCAGAGAAGCCCAGTGAGTCAGTACTTCTGCTGCACAGTTTGCAGGAATCCAGGGGACCCATGAGAATTATTTATTTCCAAACAGCATCCACCCCTCATTTCTGTACCATCTTGGTTTCTAGTAGATTTTCCTGTAAAAATACTGCTCTGTCATTCTCTCCAATTTATCCGACCACAGAGGCTGGGGCTAGGCCTCCTCGGTTAGTCTCATACAGCAATTAGTTAAGGTTAAGACCTCCTGGACCCTGAGCAGCAGAGGAAGGCCAGTCTGCAATATAGACCCCAATCATATCCCCCAGGGTCCTGGATCCAACCATCTAAACAAATCCCACAAATCATCAGGGTCTCCCTTAGAAGTCAAAGTGGGTTTTTCCTTAACTTTATGTGTTAAGGAAACTTCAGTTTAGTTCAGTTCAGTTGCCCAGTCATGTCTGACTCTTTGTAACCCCATGAATTGCAGCACACCAGGCCTCCCTGTCCATCACCAACTCCGGGAGTTTACTCAAACTCATGTCCATCGAGTTGGTGATGCTATCCAGCCATCTCATCCTCTGTCATCCCCTTCTCCTCCTGCCCCCTTAACCCAAAGCAAAAAAGCAAAATGGTTGTCTGAGGAGGCCTTAAAAATAGCTGAGAAAAGAAAAGACATTAAAGGCAAAGGAGAAAAGGAAAGATATATCCATCTGAAAGCAGAGTTCCAAAGAATAGCAAGGAGAGATAAGAAAGTCTTCCTCAGTGATCAATGCAAAAAAACAGAAGAAAATAATAGAATGGGAAAAACTAGAGATCTCTTCAAGAAAATTATAGATACCAAAGTAACACTTCAGGCAAAGATGGGCATAATAAAGGACAGAAACAGTATGGACCTAATAGAATCAGAAGATATTAAGAATAGGTGGCAAAAATACACAGAAGAACTGTAGAAAAAAGATCTTCATGACCCCAGATAACTGCGATGGTATGATCACTCACCTAGAGCCAGACATATCCTGGAGTCTGAAGTCAAGTGGGCCTTAGGAAGCATCACTATGAACAAAGCTAGTGAGGTGATGGAATTCCAGCTGAGATATTTCAGAGCCTAAAAGACGATGCTGTGAAAGTGCTGCACTCAATATGCCAGCAAGTTTGGAAAACTCAGCAGTGGCCACAGGACTGGAAAAGGTCAGTTTTCATTCCAATCCCTAAGAAGGGTAATGCCAAAGAATGTTCAAACTACTGCACAATTGCACTCATCTCACGTGCTAGCAAAGTAATGCTCAAAATTCTCCAAGCCAGGCTTCAACTGTTCGTGAACCAAGAACTTTCAGATGTTCAAGCTGGATTTAGAAAAGGCAGTGGAACCTGAGATCAAACTGCCAACATCTGCTGGATCATAGAAAAAGCAAGAGGATTCCAGAAAAACATCTACTTCTGCTTTATTTATTACGCCAAAACCTTTGACTGTGTAGATCACAACAAACTGTGGAAAATTCTTCAAGAGATGGGAATACCAGACTACTTTACCTGCCTCCTGAGAAATTTGTATGCAGGTCAGGAAGCAACAGTTAGAACTGGACATGGAACAACAGAACAATTCCAAATTGGGAAAGGAGTATGTCAAGACTATATTGTCACCCTGCTTATTTAACCTATGTGCAGAGTACATCATGTGAAATGCCGGGCTGGATGAAGCAAAAGATGGTATCAAGATTGCAGGGAGAGATATCAATAACCTCAGATATGCAGATGACACCACCCTTATGGCAGAAAGCAAGGTGGAACTAAAGGGCTTCTTGATGTAAGTGAAAAAGGAGAGTGAAACAGCTCGCTTAAAACTCAACAATCAGGACAATCTTTCTAGACAAGGCTGTTGAGGAGGGAGCGATTGAAGGGGGGGTTGACTTAGCGTGCACTGTGCCCCTCGGGATCGTTATTGCACGTGAAATGGCTGCTTTTGGAAGGCTATTGCCCAGAAGAAAAGCTGTTTGGTTTTCACAAGCCAAAGATGTACCGAAGTATAGAGGGCTGCTGTATTTGCAGAGCTAAATCCTTCAGTTCTCGATTCACTGACAGTAAGCGCTATGAAAAGGATTTCCAGAGCTGCTTTGGGTTAATGAGACTCGTTCAGGAGATATCTGTAATGCCTGTGTCCTGCTTGTGAAAAGATGGAAGAAATTGCCAGCAGGATCAAAAAAAACTGGAATCATGTGGTAGATGCAAGAGCAGGACCCAGTCTAAAGACTACACTGAAACCAAAGAAAGTGAAAACTCTATCTGGAAACAGGATAAAAAGTAACCAGATCAGTAAACTGCAGAAGGAATTTAAACGCCACAATTCTGATGCTCACAGTACAACCTCAAGTGCCTCTCCAGCTCAGTCTCCCTGTTACAGTAACCAGTCAGATGATGGCTCAGATATAGAGATGACTTTTGGCTCCAACAGAACGCCAGTGTTTTCCTTTTTAGATCTCACATACTGGAAAAGGTAAAAGCAACAGAAAATATCTCTCTAACCAGCAAACCTTCTTAATTATAGGCAACTGTTTCCACTTCCTTAGCAATTATATGGCATTTGGCAAACAGCTGGTAGCATGTGTGGTTGGAGGTGGATTAGGCAAGAATGGAGCTGAGAGTTTGGATTTTGTGTGTTTTTCCTATTAAAATTGATTTAAGATAAAAACGATGTTAAGGAATCTAAAAAAAAAAAAACTCAACAATCAAAAAACAAAGATCATAACATCCAGTCCCATCACTTCATGGCCAGTAGATGGGAAAACAATGGAAACAGTGAGAGACTTTGTTTTCTTAGGCTCCAAAATCACTGCAGGTGGTGACTGCAGCCATGAAATTAAAAGATGCTTGCTCCTTGGAAGAAAAGCTATGACCAACCTAGACAACATATTAAAAAGCAGAGACGTTACTTTGCCAACAAAGATCTATATAGTCAGAGCCATGGTTTTTCCAGTTGTCATGTATGGATATGAGAATTGGACCATAAAGAAAGCTGAGTGCTGAAGAACTGATGCTTTTGAACTGTGGTATTGGAGAAGACTCTTTCCTTGGGCTACAAGGAAATCAAACCAGTCAATCCTAGAGGAAATCAGTCCTAAGTATTCATTGGAAGGACTGATGCTGAAGCAGAAACTCCAATACTTTGGCCACCTAATGCAAAGAACTGACTCTTTGGAAAAGATGCTGATACTGGGAAAGATTGGAGGCAGGAGGAGAAGGGATTGACAGAGAATGAGATGGTTTGATGGCATCACCAACTCAATGGACATGAGTTTGAGCAAGTTCCAGGAGTTGGTGATAGACAGGGAAACCTGGAATGCTGCAGTCCATGGGGTTTCAAACAGTCGGACACAACTGAGTGACTGAACTGAACTGAATACAAGCCCAAGGCATTAATTCTGGTACAGGAGGACATGTAGGACATTTTATTAGCCATGATAATCCTGACCAATGAGTTTAGCCCAACTTAACTGGCCTTCAGGGATGCGGTCACAGCACTGACCACTTCAGGTAAAACCGGGGGCCGGTTCCCCACCACCTCTCCTAACATCACAGGAGAAAGTGCCCACAGCAGTGCATAAATAACCAGCCAGCATTCCTGCACAGTGCACCCCTGAGACCCAGGGCACAGCTGCTTTGGGAAAGGGGCTCCACCACCACGCAAGGGCCACATGATCTCCTGGTGGTGTTTGCTTAAACACTGGCAGGTCTCCTAGACCCACTCCTAGCAGTCAGGCCCCGAGTTGTCATGAGAAAGGAAGATTACCCCTGGGCTTCCAGATTTGACGCAGAGCACCGAGCGCACAGCAGGCCCTGGAGAGAATGCCCACAGCTGTGGGGGCCCCTTAATGGAACCCATGTCACCAGGCATGTGTGGAAGCCGGACAAGGCCAATGAAGTGGCATCCTGGTCAGCTGGCACGTCTATGGGTCCCAGTTCAGCCTGAAAAATGGAGACTAGTCCTTATGTTTAAAATGACTAAGGACTTCCCTGATGGTCCAGTGGTTAAGAATCTGCCTTCCAATGCAGGGCATGTGGGTTCCATCCCTGGTTGGGGAACTATGATCCCACATGCCACAGGGCAACTAAGCCCGAGCACCACAAGTAGAGAGCCCGCATGCTGCAACAAAGATCAGTGCAGCCAAAAAAATAACAAGTAGAGTGAGTGCCTGAAGAACAGCCCTTGTAACCTGTTAGGTCTGCACGCGTAGCCCGTGGGCAGTCTCCTTCCACCCTGCTGGATGGTGCGGCCATGGCTACAGTAACCAGATACAAGGTCGGGAGCAGGAAGACATCCGGTGGGGCCAACAGTATGCTTTTGTCTTTGCGTGTGCGGGCCCCTCTGCTGCCATAAACATGTCTGCTGCTGGCAGCGCTAGAACCATGAGGCTAAGCTCTCAGTTTGCAAGCAGGATACATGCCTCCCGGTTCTTAATGGTCACCCTGATCACCTTGCTCATCCTGGTTACTGCCCTGGAAGCTGAGAAGGGAGACAATTCCATCCTGGGGACTGCAAGATCCAGCGAGCAAACGGCCTCCCTCAGGTGTGTGGACCAGGAAGAGAGGGGGGTGAAGAGTCAACTTTGGAGAAGGCTATTTCCACACCCAGCCACACCGGACACCTGTGAGTGGGGGAGAGTGAAGCTCCATCCAATGCTGGACTGTCAGAGCCTTCCGAGGTAAAACCTCACCATTGCTGAGATGCCGATGGTCCAGAAAACCAAACAAATTCGGGTAAGTGTTCCACCGACCAGGGCAGCCAAGGGCGCATCCCACGTGACATGTTCCACACTTTGTGAGGATGGATGAAGAAGGGGAGAGCACGCACAGCTCTGGGACAGCTTCTTTGAGGCTGACAGAGAGTCCTCACACCAAGGAGGCCTGTCTGGTCACCCCTGGAATGGGCCTGAGGATACCTGGGAGCCCTTAGGCTGGGCCGCCTGCCCTCCACGTGATGTGGAGATGGGGTCAGAGGTCAGCCGATGGAACTGGGTCCACCCACACTCTCTGAGAGCAGAAACCTTACAAGGTGCATCCTTATGACCCCACAATCCTGTGCTGAACAACAAAGGTCCATAATAAATCATATTATGAGGAAGCAAGGGATTAAGACTGAAGCAGAAAAATAGAACTGCAAAAATTAGGTACATATTCAGTATATATATACAAGTATAATGAACAGAGAAAAGGAAAAGGACTAGACAGAGTGTCACACAGAGAATCAAATTTGTAGTGTGTAAATATTTATACTTTAAAAAGATTCTATGAAGAACCAAAAGCCACCTTTTAAATCCTGCTGAGAAATTCATGCTAATCTCTATGTAAATTGTTCAGTGGGATCCATCATGTTTTTCTTGTCTCCATAACCAAAAACAGCCTGAAGGACTTCTGTCTTTTATGTTTGTGGGACTCAGTCAGGTAGGAGGAGGGTATGGGGGGGCCCATAGGAGGGCCCCACCCCTCTCACAGTCCAGCTGGAAAAGGCCTCCCCGTGGCGGCCTGGGGTCAGGATCGGGGTGGGGGAGGAGAAAGCAGTGTGGGGTGCAGGAGGCCCAGAGTTGCCACTTCACCTTGTCTCATCACCTCCCTCCCTCCCTACCTGAATGTCAGTTATGTTAAAAACAAATTGGGATAGAATTTACCCCCATGGAAAAAATTCACCCATGTAAAATACACCATTCAATAGTGTGAGTATATTCACAGAAATATGCACTATCTCCATGGTCTGAGTTTAGGGCAATTACACCACTCCAAATATCAAGACCCATGAGCAGTCATTTCTCTGACCACCCCTGACTCCAGCCCAAGAAAACTGCTAATCTGCTTTCTGTCTCTCACTCTGCCTATTCCCGAGAGTCCACACAAACGGGGTCACATGGTAGATGGTCTTTTTGCCTGGCTTCCTTCATGCACCTCAGTGTGTTCATGGCTCCTCAGGGCTTGTCAGCAGGTCATCCTGCTTTATGGCCAAATAACATCCGTCATGCACCACACTTGGATGCACCCCTTGGTGTATATCTGTTCACTAATTAATGGACACTTGGGTTGTTTCATGTTTTGACTGTGATGAATAATGCTACCAAGCACATCTATGTACAAGTTTATGTGTGGTTGTATGTCATCAATTTTCTTGGGCACATACAAGAGGAGGCATATAGTAACTGTACGTTTAACATCTTGATGAGCTGCCAAACTACTTTTCTTACCCACTGCACCAGTTTACATTCTCACCAGCATTCTAGGAGGGTTCCACTTTTTCCACCTCTTGGCCAACATTCATTATGGTTGATTTTTTTATTATACTTATCCTTGTGGGTTTGAAGTGGTATTTCTTTGTGGTTTCGATTCACGGTCTCCCTAAATTCCAGAAAAACATCTACTTCTGCTTCATTGACTATGCTAAAGTCTTTGACTGTGTGGATGACAGCAAACTGTGGAAAATTCTTCAAGAGGTGGGAATACCAGATCACCTTACCTGCCTCCTGAGAAATCTGTGTGCAGGTCAGAAGCAACAGTTAGAACTGGACATAGAACAACAGACTGGTTCCAAACTGAGAAAGGAGTACGTCAAGGCTGTATATTGTTACCCTGCTTATTTAACTTATATGCAGCATACGTCATTCGAAATGCAAGACTGGATGAAGCACAAGCTGAGCTCAAGATTGCTGGGAGAAATATTAATAACCTCAGATAAGCAGATGACACCACCCTTATGGCAGAAAGCAAGGTGGAACTAAAGGGATTCTTGATGAAGGTGAAAGAGGAGAGTAAAAAAGCTGGCTTAAAACTTAACATTCAGAAAATGAAGATCATGGCATCCAGTCCCATCACTTCACAGCAAATAGATGGAGAAACAATGGAAGCAACAAGAGACTTTATTTTCTTGGGCTCTAAAATCACTGCAGATGGTGAGTGCAGCCTTGAAATTAAAAGACGCTTACTCCTTGGAAGAAAAGCTATGACCAACCTAGACAGCATATTAAAAAGCAGAGACATTACTTTGCCTGTAACAAAGGTCCATCTAGTGGTATGGAGACTTCTTAAAAAACTAGGAATAAAACCACCATATGACCCAGCAATCCCACTCCTAGGCATATATCCTGAGGAAGTCAGAACTGAAAAGACACATGCACCCCCATGTTCACTGCAGCTCTATTTACAACATCTAGAACATGGACGCAACCTAGATGCCCACTGACAGGTGAACGGAGAAAGCAGCTGTGGTACATATACGCAAAGGAATACTACTCAGCCATAAAAAGGAACACATTTGAATCTGTTCTAATGAGGTGGACGAAACTAGAGCCCATTATACAGAGTGAAATAAGTCATAAAAAAAATTAAAAAAATAAATAAGTCAGAAAGAGAAGTATAAATATCATATACTGACACATATACATGGAATCTGAAGAGATGGCACTAATGAATTAATTTTCAGGGTGGCAATGGAGAAACAGACATAGAGAACAGACCTAAGGACAAGGTGGAAGGAGAGGAGGAAGAAGGGGAGATGTATGGAGAGAATAACATAGAAATTTACAATACCATGTGCTAAAACAGAAAGCCAATGGGAATTTTCTGTATGACTCAGGGAACGCAAACAGGGGCTCTGTGACAGGTTGAAGGGTGGGGTGGGGAGGGAGAAAGGAGGGAGGTCTGGGGGGGAGGGGACATGGGTGTACCTATGCTTGTTGATGCATGACAGAAAACCACAAAATTCTGTAAAGCAATTATCTTTCAATTAAAAAATTTTTTAAAAGGTCCATCTAGTCGAAGCTATGGTTTTACCAGTAGTCATGCATGGATATGAGAGTTGGACTATAAAGAAAGCTGAGTGCCAAAGAATTGATGTTTTTGAACGGTGGTGTTGGAGAAGACTCTTGAGAGTTCCTTGGACTGCAAGGAGATCAAACCAGCCGATCCAAAGGGAAATCAGTCCTGAATATTCATTGGAAGGACTGATGTTGAAGCTGAAGCTTCAATACTTTGGCCACCTGATGCAAAGAGCTGACTCTTTGGAAGACCCTGATTCTGGGAAAGATTGAAGGCAGGAGGAGAAGGGGATGCCAGAGGATGAGATGGTTGGATGGCATCATTGACTTGATGGACATGAGTTTGAGCAAGTTCCAGGAGTTGGTGACGGACAGGGAAGCCTGGCTTGCTGCAGTCCATAGGGTTGTAAAGAGTCGGACACGACTGAACGACTGAACTGAACTGAATAAAATGCTAATGATGCTGAGCATCTTTTCATGTGCTTATTGGCCATTTGAATATCATCTCTAGAGAAATAGCTATTCATATCCTTTGCCCACCTTAAAAACTATGTAACTTGTCTCTTTGTTGACTTGGAAGAGCTATTTTTATATTCTGGGTACTGGTTTCTTATCAGATATATGATTTCTAAATATTTTATCCCATTTTGTGAGTTGTCTTTTCACTTTCTTGATATATCATCTGTAGCACAAAAAGTTTAAACAGTGACATAGCCTAAATTACCTATTTTTTTCTTTGATCGCTTGTGCTTTGGGGGTCATATCTAAATGGACATTAGCTAATCCAAGGTCACAGAAATTTACTCTCATGTTTTCTTCTAAAAATGTAATAGCTTTAGTCCTGACACTTAAGTCTATGATGTATTGTGACTTAGCTTTGTGTGTGACGTAAGAAAGGGGTTGGCTTTCACTCTTCTGCATGTGGATAGCCCTTCTCCCAGCACCGTGTGTGGAAAAGACCCTTCTCACCTTCTGGAACCCTGTCAGTTTTAAGCAAAAATATTCTGTTTTGCTCTGACCCACAGCCAGAGCAGAGGGCAATCAGACCACTCACATTCCTGAATTTCCAGTACCGGGTAAGTAGTGAGACAAACCTCAGCCAAATGCATTTGTTAACTAAACAAACACATACTTAATCTTGCTGAACTACCTGAGAGTTTGAACCACTTCTGTTTGCTATAAATACTCAGTACTGTGGAGGAGACTGTGTTTCTATTGAAACTCGATCCTGGAGTATTTGTCTGAGAAGCGGGGGGACTGATTTTCCTGTTTTACCCATGACCCCTCCCAATAAATGCATTTATTAATTTCCATGAATTGTTGTGGCTGCTGGGAGGTGTAGAGCAGCCGCCAGTGGGGGCCCAAAATCCCAGGCTGCCAGCTGAAGGCCACATAGACCGTGGACTCGCTCCTCCTCCACCCACCATGGTCTTGGTTGCTCTGGTTCACGTCCAGTTCTTGCCCGACCTTAGTCTTCCATCCGACTGCAGAGAATCACAGGCACTTTCAAGTTCTCCAGGCCAGTCCTCTGATAGCTCCTCAAAAGCATCAAATGAAACCTCAGCCTTCAAAGTGGACCAACTCAAGCTCCTTGGCCCGCTGTGCATGCCTAGGAATCAGCTGTGTCTGACTTTACGTGACCCCATAGAATGCAGCACGCCAGGCTTCCTTGTCGTTCACCATCTCCCGTGATTTGCTCAAACTCATGTCCAATGAGTAGGTGATGCCATCCAACCATCTCACCCCCTGTTGCCCACTTCTCCTGCCCTCCATCTTTCCCAGCATCAAGGTCTTTCCCAGTGAGTCGGCTCTTCGCTTCAGCTGGCCAAAGTATTAGAGCTTCAGCATCAGTCTTTCCAGTGAATATTCAGGGTTGATTTTCCTTAGGATTGACTGATTGATCTCCTTGCGGCCCAAGAAACTCTGAAGAGTCTTCTCCAGCACCACAGCTCTAAAGCATCAGTTCTTTGGTGCTCAGAAGCTGAGGCCCAGAGAACCCAGGAGCTGGCCTGTGTCACACAGGGAACTGAGGTTTTAGAGAAGGATTGTAAACTTTTGGTCAGGATAAGGTTCTGGGTCAAAAATCACTGATCCGAGATAGTTTTCCAGTTAAAGCTGATGCCACTTCCAGCATACCACTGTCCCACCCAAACGATGAAGGTGAGATTTGGATAATCAACCTCAAATTAATTGGGTAAAAGATGGAAGAGGGGAATTGGCAGTCACTGCAGCCTCAAACGAACCAAATCTAAATCTGATTCCCCACAGTAGGGCTGGACAGAAAGAAAGGGTCTCCTCTGGTACATTTTTCTCCACATGAGATGTGTGACAATGAGAGGTCAGCTGACCTGGGTTCCTGGGATTATGTTGAGATCGTACAAAGAGCCTCCCAGTCTGTGTCTCGCAGGGCCCAGGTGCTGGCCACCCCTGGACACGGGTCCCTAGACCTCACTGTCCACTGCAGCAATTATGCTCTCTCTCTGCAGCTGCAATCGGAAGAGTGCTTTGTGGACCACCAGGCATTTCCTGTGATAGAATATCAGAACGCCAGTGGTGGCTGGGAGGAGGTGACCTCACAGGGCAAAAGTTCCCTTTCTACAATAAACATTCTCAGCGTGGCCATGTCAGAGACTTCCTACACAGACCCCACACCTACGAGCCACTTGTCATCATGACACTGAAGAGCTGGGGAAAGAAATGCAACCATTTCCAGCAGATTCTCTTTCTGGAAAGGGAACTGGCCTCTGGGTTCTGAGTACATGGGCATCATCCTAAAAACCGGTAAACTTACAAAACAGAAAGAGACTCAACAAACGTAGAGAACGCACTCACAGTTGCCGGGGGGATGGGATAGTTAGGGTGTTTGGGATGGACATGTACACACTGCTGTATTTAAAATGGATAACCAAAAAGGATGAACCGCATAGCAGAGGAAATTCTGCTTAATGTTATATGGCAGCCTGGATGGGAGGGGGCTTTGGGGGAGAATGGATACACATGAATATGCATGCTTGAGTCCCTTAGTTGTTCATCTGAAACTATCACAACATTGTTATAAGAGAACTTAGGGGTTCTATCAAGCAAACAGTTGGTGGTTCCTAGGAGAGGGATAGAGGCCTAAAAACCTATGACCCTTTAGCATCTAGAGGGGAGAGGAGCAGGGGTGTTCGCTGTGCCGCATGGAGGGCCCAGGAGCATCGTGGGGGGTAACCGAGGCCACTGACCCCAAGGCTTTACGTCCCCAGTGGTCGCCATGCAGAAGAGAATCACTGAAGAAAGAAGCCAGGGCCGTGAGATGATGCGGCATCAGACCCGGTGTCCAGGGAAGACACGCCCCGGGGGGTGGCGGTCCAGGGAAGGGGCGTTGGCACGCTCGCCCCAGCCTCCTCCCCAGGCCCGCATGGCTACCACCAGCGGAGACAGCACCGCAGGCCAGAGGGTGACGTTCTCTCCTCTCTTTCAAAGACCTCTCTCTGTGCCTGACTCTGCCTGCATGTCTGAACAGAGTCCCGGGTCCTTGCTCACAACATCTCCCGACTAGGTGTTGCACGTGTCCCCACCGGTAAGTAAGGAGCATCGTTGTGGATGGACCCGTGTGCCAGCTCGAGAGTGGATGGACCTGTCAGAGCTGGAGGTTAACTTCGACCCTTCCGAGGGCCTTGTGAGGAGCCACGTCCTTAGCGAGAACCCCTGCAAACATACCCACCGACCCTCCCTCCAGCTTGGAGCTTGGACCCTGACTTTCACCTGCTTCCACTGAGTGATGCTTCCCACTCATATGACCAGACCCCTCGGTAGCTCATAAGCTTCCATCCTTCTTGTAAAACAGGATGCAACGGTTCGACTAGCCTTGTGTTCGCCTAGGCTCTGTGGCTGCTACCCTCCCTCCCCACCGCCCCCCTCTCTCTTTCTCTCTCCCACACAGATACACATGTCTACAGTTCTTCCCATCTTTCTTCAAGAAGGTGACTGCAGCTGGGTTGGCCTGGAGGCAGGGAGGTCAGCTGTCCTCACCCATGTCCTGAGCTCCACTCCTAAGCATCCCCAGGCCCGCGTCCCTCAGGTCAAGTAGGAAGCAAGTGTAACCAGCGGCAAACACTGCACAAAGCTTTAGTGCGTGTGTGCTCAGTCATGTCTGACTCTGCGTGACCCCACGGACTGCAGCACGCCAGGCTCTTCTTTCTGTCCATGGGATTCTCCAGGCAAGAGCACTGGAATGAGTTGCCATGCCTTCCTCCAGGGATCTTCCTGACCCGGGGATCAAACCCACATCTCCTGTGTCTCCTAATTTAGCAGGCATCTTTTTACCACTGAGCCACCTGGGAAGCCTACGTATCTTTGCACAGTCAGATTCACCCTAGTTCTCCTCTAGGATCCTATGTGTCCGAGAAGAGCCCTGAGCCCTGGTCTTCTTCTCCTCGTTCCATGTGAACTGGAATTATAGGCAGGATGTTGGAGCAAAGTGTTGGCCCCTCATAGACCTTTCCTGAGTCCACGTCCCATACAATTTGCCTTTGATGTTATGGCCACTGTGTCCGTCTGAGGACTAGACAGAGGCTCCTTTCGAGACCACAGTGTGGGTGACTTGGGCTCCCCGTGCCCCTAGTCCAGGGCACTCTAGTCAAGCTGCCATTGTTCCAGGGGCAGGGTGGGGGGCACATTCGCCCAAGGATGGGGGTTCCAGGGCTCTGGTCTAGGAAAAGGTCTAGGAAAAGGAGCTGGCAGGTCCATACAGGAGGAGGAGGGATTTCAGGCTCCAGCCTGATGCAGACAGCAGTTACATCAGATACCTCAGAGCTGGGTCCCTCCACCCAGCAGCCCCAGAGGCACTGCCTCTGCTGAAAGAACACAACGCATATTCATAGGTTTGGGGAATGAACGGGGCAAGGAGGCACATGTCTCCCACTTCTGAGCAGCTCCTGAGAGCTGAGACACTAGCTTTCTGAGCAGGGACCGCACCCCCGCCCCTGCTTCCGAGCTGCCGCCAGCTTTTCTTCTTGCTCACCCCTGCTCCTGCCCGGGGTGCCCGGGTTCAACCTCGACTCACCCATTGTTCAGCTTCCTCCCAGGCAGCCTCCTAACCCGCGGCTGAACCATGGCGAAGTGACGTTTACAAACACGTCTGTTTGGCTCTCATAAATTGGCACTGACTTCTTCTCTATAGAATATTCAGGAAGGATGTATACAATGGGGCCCAGACAGAGACCCAGGCCTGGCGGACGGAACTGGGAGCTGGGGGTGATGTCATCTGGGTCCCGGGGAGGACAGCCCCTCCCCCGCGTGACAGAGGACCAGGTGCATCATCGCCCCAGACCCCAGCCTGCCCCGCATCTGTGCATCAGCAACACTGATCGAGGGGGGCTGAGGCCCTCGGGCTCTAAAAGTTCAGGTTGCGGATATAGTTTCTGAGTGCTCATCTGGTAGCAGGCCTAAGACAGACCAGACTCTATCCCCGTGACCTTGACCTAATGGGGCAGGGAGATGCCCAACGAACAATTATAAACAGAAAAACACTGTGTGCTCTCCAGGTAAATATGCAGTCTGGGCACCGTGACAGCATGGATTTTTGCAAACTTAAGGAACACGAGGGGGAAAGGTACAGAAAAAGCTAGGGTGCATCTCAGTGGGAAATACGGAAGGCCTGATGGCATCCCCAAGACACAGAACTTGAAGAGAAGACAAAAGCCAAGGGGTACACTAACCCAGTTCTTACTCCCCGTGCCCACAGGGCCTGATCAGTCCAGGTGAATCCACACCAGTCATGTCAAGGCGTTTCTATCTGCAAGAGAAGCTGATCCTGGCAGATCCAGGCTCAGCCTACCCGGAAAACCAGATTCAGAAGACCGGTAGGAACAAAGACAAGCCGGGCAGGGGGAGGCCGGCCAAAGTCTCAGCAGGACCATAGCACACGTCCTACCCCACACAGTGGGCTAGCCTGGAGGCAGGTTATTTTGTTGGGAAGACCCGATGGAGGAAATGGCAACCCACTCCAGTGTTCTTGCCTGGGCCGTGGACAGAAGAGCCCGGCAAGCTGCAGTCCATGGGCTCACAAGAGACGCACATGACTAAGCAACTAACACCACCAACGAGCTGTGCAGCCTGGAGCTCATTGCTTAACTTCTCTGTGCCTCAAATCATCCTATGTAAATAACCTTAAAAATACATTGCAATTAGCCTACAATGTTGCCAATTGTAAGGTGTGCTATTTTATGAGCCACTAAGCAGGAAAAAAACAAACACACACAAAAAAACATTATGACCCCGTGATTTCTCATTGTTCCAATTTCTGATTTTATATTTTGTGAAGAATCCATCTTAGATCTTCTAAGATGCAGGCTTTTACTATCCCACTCTTATACAGGCATAAAAAGGAAAAATAAATTAATCAGGAGACTTCGGTTGTTGTTCAGTCACTCAGTCCTATCCGAGTCGTTGTGACCCCCATGGACTGTAGCACACCAGTCTCCTCCATCCTTCATTATCTCCTGGAGTTTGCTCAAACTCATGTGCATTGAGTTGATGAAGAAGGAGACGTCTAGACCTTTCTCAATTCAGAGCCCAGCTCTCCACCTTCCCAGTGGCCTGATGGCCTGGGCGTTGTCACCCCGGGCACTGCAGCTCCAGCACTATTTCCGCAGAGCACTTCTGCCCCATCTCTTCCTGGACTTGCGACAAGCCTCAGATACCACTCCTCCAAGCGTCACTTTCTTACTGCTGCCTTCTTGATCTCCCAGAGGTGTCGAGCTTCCAGAGTACAGCCACGGGCCTTTCCAAGTGACCCTCAACCCGTTCATCCCCTGAGACAGCGAGGGTTTGTGTATCCTCCAGGCCACCAGGAACACGTGTGAGCATGCACAGCAAGACTGGCCCGGCAACCACAGCCGGATTCTAAATGCTGGGCAGGCGGTGCCTAGGGTCCCGGCAAGGAGTGACATTCCTGCTGGGCCCCAACTGAGGGTCGTGACCTTGAGCTCACTTCTTTACGGAGCTCAGTCCTAGTACACTGTCAGCAGTCAATAGACATCAGTTCTTTTCTGCTTTTTAAAAAAAATTTCTAAAATAATTTTATTTATTTATTTTTGGCTGTGCTGGGTCTTCATTGCTGCCCAGGCTTTCCTCTAGTTGTGGAAACTGGGGGCCACTCTCTAGCTGGTGCTCCGGCTTCTCAATGCAGTGGTTTTTCTTGTTGCAGCTCCCGGGCTCTAGACACAGGTTCAGTAGTCGTGGCACACGGGTTAGCTGCTCCGCGTCATGTGGGATCTTGCTGGACCAGGGATTGAATCTCTGTCTCCTGCCTTGGCAGGTGGACCCTTTACCACTGAGCCACCAGGGAAGCCCAGTTCTTTTCTGCTTTTAAGCAAAAAACTTGCAGCAACAGGGAACGGTACTCAATATTTTATAATAACCTCTAAGGAAAAAAAATCTGAAATATATACATACACACACACATATATATATATATATATGTATATATATATATATATATATATATATATATATATATATTTCTTCAGCTCTGCCAGGTAGCCTGAGGTCTGCTCTCCTTGGGATGAAGTTCAAGATGTGTAACCAGCAGCCAGCACTCAGATCAGCTCAGAGACATCCCAGCAAGGGAGGCACATTCTTTACGGGTCTGCACAAGTGCCTACATACAGTTTTTTCCATCTCTAATTAT